ACACACACACACACACACACACACACACACACACACACACACACACAATTACCTGCTGCAGTTCTGACAAGGTATGCAACATTCTGCTCAACTAACCCCCTTCCTCTCTCTCAGGAGGGAGATAAGTTTCACTATCTGTCCTCCAGGAAAAATAAATTAATTTTTTGACTATTCAGAATTCAGGGCAATAAGATTTTCAGCAGGGCAATTTTCAATGTGCTTACTCACTTTTAAAAAGTTTTAATCCTGTCACCAAGAAAATGCCACTTCCTCCAGGAAGCACTCCCTGATCCTGCCCAGCTAAAGGTGATCTTTTTTTCATCTGGCCTCTCAATCTTTTGTCATCCTCTTATTGTTTCCCTCATTTTAAACCATGGTTTAAACCATATGGTTAAACCATAAAGTTTAAACCATGACCATCGTTTAAACCATATGGTTAAACCATAAAGTTTAAACCATGACCATGGTTTAAACCAGATTGCATTTCCTTGTGTGTCTGTCTCGTCAAAGGTTCTCCTCTGATGCTCATAACAGCATCCAGGTGAGCCCGGGTATTCTTGAAAGCCATGACACCAAGAGTAAAGTACCAGCTCTTGTAGCATCTACACCCAGCTGTTTTCAAAACGCATCAGGAACGGGCCAGGACATAGGCTGTACATCTGCTGTCCAATGGCCAAATGAACTGAGGTTTGTAAAAGTCACATTGACATTTAAGTTTGTCCAGTACAGACAGAATTCTTTTGATCACACAACTTCTGAGATGGTCTGCTAAGGCATGGAGGGGCTGGGATCCTCATCAGTAAAGGGAATGTCCACACCAGTGAAATCACCCATTACCTTAAGAAGTCAGGTGTACACACATCCATAGATTAACACTCCCCACTTACATTTTACTTCTTAATAGTTATTTGTGTATATGTTCAACCTCCTTATTTGATGATAAGCTCCTTGAAGGCAGGGGTAGTTCAATAACAAGAACATAACAAGAACCTCACTGTTTCCCCAATTAAATTTAAGTGGCATTTATTAAAAGTGGCTCTAGGTGAAAAGCAGTTCCTGCCCTCAAGGAGCTTATAGTTTACTAAGGGATACAACATATAAACAGATATGTGAACACAAAATTATTTGAGAAGGGCAAGATTACTGATAACCAGGTGATCAGGGAAGGTTTCTCATAGGAGGTAGTAGTTGCACTGAGCCTTCAAGGAGGCAAAAAATGCTAACAGGCAGAGATGAGAAGACAGTACACTGCAGGAATGAGGGAGATCTTGGGCAAAGGCATGGAGGAGGGAGAGAGAAGGCAGAATGCAGCACAAAGACCAAGTTGTCCACAACACTGAGTGAAGGGGAGCAAGGAGCATGGAGAGGTGAAGCCCAAACAATGTGTGAAGGTTTTAAATCACAAAGAAGTTTGTATTTTATCTTAGAACAACAGGGACCCGATGAAGAAGTCCACAGTTGGATTTAGGTCCTGACTCACAAATGCTCTGGAAACCAGAAGAGAACATCACTGGTGGAAGGTGCACCTAAGAGTTTGGAAAAGGAAGTCCAAGAGAGTTGAAGAGGCTGGAGTACTCCCCTCACTACCTGTGTGACTCTGGGCAAAGTAACTTCAACTGAGTCTCAGGGCTGTGGCTTCCCTACCTGCAAAATGTGGCCTTGGGCTAGATTATCACTCAGATCCTTTCTGGCTCTCGATCTTGTGAGCTACATCAGTGGAATCCTTGTACATACATAAAAATGGCCTTTTGGAAACAGGCAAGCATTGTGTGATGGGGATTCGACAATTTCACCAGTCTCGATAAGGCTACAGAGGGTAAAGACAGGGATTATACCACCAGCAGGCCTGATCTTACTGTAGGAAGGAGGCTGCAGAGTATAATAGAAAGAGCCCAGGATTTGCAATCAGAAGATCAAGGCTGCTACCTGATAGCTCTTTAACCTTAAGCAAGCCTGGCAAACCCTCAGTTTCCTCATCTGTAAAATGGAGATGGATGATAATACTTGCACAACCTACCTCACAGAGCTGTTGTGAAGAGTCTTTTGTAAGTCCTTAAACTGCTATAGAAATGGGAATTATTAACATTAATCACTGTACATTCAATCTCGATTTGTTTTACATAAAGCTAAAAAAAAAAAAACCAAGCAATGTTTCTATCTCCTGAATGGGAAACAATAAACATTTTTTAAAATGAAAAGATTAAACATATATGCAAATCTGTTTGCCTCTTCACTTACCTCCATTTAGAGCCTCAGCTATCATATTTGAATTTGGAGAAGGAACACTTGCCACCCCTTCTGTGGAGCCAGTATCCGCCCTCTTCATTTGGATGGGATAGCCACTTTTCTCCAACCAGGCTTTTAGATGCTCTATATACTCTCTTCCAAACAATGTCGAATCATCAAAATTAGGGAAGGCTGCTGGAATTGGAGCTACTTCTTGGAGGCCAATAGCTTCTAATATTTTTTCTTGTCGGAACGTGGAAGCTAAGGAAAACGTTTGGCCCAAAAGTGCCAAAGATTTACGACAGAGGGAATTGGTTGTCTCCAAGGCACCTGCCATTTCTGCAGGGTTACTAAAACCCTTCATTTTAACACTTAGCTCATAGGCATTGCAAGCCATGAGCAAGGGAGTAACACTTTTGAGAAGGCGGTCTTGGAGCCTCATCATGTACTTGTCAAATGGTTTTATTACTTCAAAGAAACAATTCTTGGTTTTCACAGCACCTTTGTCTAAGAGCATGTTCAAGAACTCATTATCAACTTTGGGGGTTTTCAAAGCAGAGTGCTTCAGACACTTGATGGTAAAGAAGCAGAAGTCTCTGTGCTCTGGTTTCAGAGAACATTTGAAGGAGGCCAGCATCTTCGCACAGGTTTCAGTTTCTAACTCAAAGAGAGCTGCAAACAACTGTGAAAATTCCATATCACTCTTTATCTTATGAAATCCAGCCCATTTGATTATCTCTATCCCAAATGTTGAAAAAATGTCCGAATTGTCAACTAGGTCAAAACTGACCTCTCCTCTAGGCAGCCTACTAGTCTTCTGATTGGGGCGCAACGGAGTCTTTCGCACAGGACGCTGGACATCTTCGGTCCTTTGGGTGACCCCAGGACTCAGATCAGGCCTCAGAATAGTTTTTCTTATTGGATTAGTACATTGAGTTTTTGGAATAATTCGATAGGGAACCATAGGGGGCAGTTTTTTAGCGTTCACTTTTCTTAGGGTGGGAATTTTCCTGACATCCCCTTTAATGACTTTGGTTTTAAGTGCACCTCTGGTCACCCGCTTACTCTGAAGAATGCCACCCCGGTCAGCAGTGCCAACAGCACCCCGGCCACCACGGCCCCTGCTGCGCACCCAGCCCCTGCCCCTAGGCACTGACTGCTGGAATTCATAATCTGCCTCACCTGAAAAGTCCAACTCATACTCCTGACTGTCCATGTCCACATACTCTTCCTCCATAAGGCCAGGTGATCGAAAGTCACCCAAAACTTCAGGACCAAAGTCACTCTCATGAGACCAAGAAGGTTCATGGGTACTTGGGTGGCCAAAGTCATGCTCCCAAGACTCTGAGTGGCTAAACTCTGGATCCTGAGAACCAAAATGACTAAAGTCTTGGTGGCCAAAGTCCCGATCTCTGGAACTAACCCGGCTGAAGTCCCGGTCCTGAGAGTCTGCACGAGAAAAGTCCCGATCCCGGCCAAAATCTTCCTGGTAGTAGTTTTCTTCACTCATGGGAGGACTGCTGGATCTAAATGAAGGTCCAGGAAATACCTCATCCCTGAGGTCTTCTCTCCAAGTGTCACGAGGATGTACTGGATCATGAGAGTATCTTCCATCATCATGAAAACTGTCTTCATATCTGTCTGCTCTTGATCTTGGGATTGACCTTGAAAGACCTGGAATGAACCAGTGAAAAGGAAACAGTAAAGCTTTATACTTTAGGTTCAAGGAATAGTTTTTGTTCCCTAACTTCCCTGGATTTTACTGTCCATACCAGAACAGAACGTCTATGTTTCACATATGTTTCTATTTGTTTAACAATGTATAGTCATCGAATAGGTCTCCAGGTGAAGAATTAAACTATTATTATAAACCCTGAGCAGAAACACACAAATGTTGCCAAGCATTTTTTTTCTTAAAAAAGTTTTAACATGTTATCTTTTGTTTTTACACCTTCATTTCCAAATATCCCATCCCTTACCAAGGATTCATCCCCTAGTAAAGAAGGGAAAAAAAAAGAGAGAGAAAGAGGAGGGGAAGGGAGGAAGCTTCAACAAACTAACCAGCATACCAACTAAATCTGACATATTCAGTGTCCCACACTCATAGTTCCCATCTCTGCAAAGAAAGAAGGGAGGTGCATTTTTTCATCTCTTCTTTAAGGCCAGACTTGGTTATTATACTTAAAGAACTTTCAGTTTTGGTTATTTTTTGTTCTTTCCATTTATACTTTTTTAATTAATGTAAATATGGTTTCCTGGTTCTGCTTACTTCATTCTGCATCAGTATATATAAGTCTTCCCATGTTTCTTTAAATTCTACATGTGCAGTAATTTCTTTAGCCATTTCCAATAGATGGGATTCTGCTGTTTCTAGTTCTTTGCTATGACAAAAAGCACTGCCATACATATTTTGATATGTAGCTGTCTTTGTCATTGAAGTATATACCTAGCGGTTTGACTCCTGAGACAAAGAATATGGTCATTGTAGTTACTTTTTTAGGATAATTCCAAACTGCTTTCTTCAACGGTTGGGCCAATTCATAGCTCCATCAACAGTGCATTAAGGTGCTTGTTTTTTTCCCAGCTTCTCCAACATTATTTTTCATTGTCTTTACTAATTTGCTGGATGAAACTTCAGAGTTGGCTTAAAAAATAAAATTTTATTTTTAGTTTCTGTTTTTATATCACCTTTACTTCCAAATATCTCTTCCCCTTCCTCTACTCAGAGAGATATCACCTGTAACTAAGAATAAAAAAGAAAGGGGGTGGGGGGAGCCAATTCTGACAAACTAACCAATACATCAACCTCTACATACCTCTACAACTTCTATACACCTCTACAAAGAAGGGAGGGAGTGAATTTTCTTCTCTCTTCTTCCAGGCCAACCTTGTCTGATTTTGGTTTTATTTATTGTTTTTTTTCCCCACTACACTGCTGTAGTCACTATATGTACAGTAGGTTCTATTTATTTAGCCTTTCTCTAGTTTGTATGTTTTCGCATGCTGCTCTGCGGTATTATTTATCATGATGCAGTAATTTTCCATTACATTCATGTACCACAATTTGTTTAGCCATTCCCCAATCAATGGGGACTCTTTGGTCCAGCCAAGTTAGCCTTCTTGCTAGTCCTCAAACACACCCTTCCATCTCATTGCTTTGGGCTGGCTATTCTCCATGTCTGAAATGGACCCTCACCTCACTTTTCCCTCTTAGAATCCTATGTTTCCTTCAGAACTGCTCAGTGACCTCTTCCACATAAAAGCTTTCATGATCTCCCTAGCTGTTGATAGCTCCCTCACAAAGGTTTACTTTGTATATATTTATGTACTTTCCCCAAAAAATGAATATAAATTCCTTGAGGATAGGGTCGGTTTCATTTTTATCTTTATTTCCCCAGCAGCTAGCACAATGTCACATAACAGGCACTTAATAAATGCTTGCTGAATGATGGGCGTCAAGCTCTATTAATAATGTATTAGTGTGCTTGTCTTCTCATAACCCCTCTAACACTGACAGTTCTCATCTTTTGTCATCTTTTCCAGTTTTCTAGATATTGGGTGAAATGTCAGTTGTTTTGATTTCTCTCATTGTTAGTGATTTAGAGCAATCTTTCATATTATTATTAATGATTTGTGACGAAGCACTTCAACATGAATGTCTTATAACTGAAAACTAACACATTTGTTTTCTTTCAAGTGAAAGGTAGCATGGTGTGGTAGAAAAGACGAGTGAACTTGGAATGAGAAGGCCCAGAATTGAAGTCTAGGTCTTTTGCTTCTGGCTTTATGACAGGTCACTTAATCACTGAGCCTCAGCTTCCTCCATCTGCAAACCGGGATGACAATATTTGCACTAATCACCTCACAAGGTCACGGTGAAGAAATACTTTGTGACCTTCTGACACTACTGAAATGTGTGCTATTGTTTAAGAACTTCTGGTTCCTCCCATCCCCTAAAGATTCTTTTAGTTTACCTTGAGACTTAAACTGATGGAGAGCGTCTTCTATGGCGTCACTGTGGTCCATGCGATATCTCTTAACCTTTTCTTGTAGGACAGCATCAAAAGTTTCCCTACTGACTCGCCTAGAAGCCATCATTAGGCCCAGCTACGAGAAAGAGACATGTTAACACAAAAGATCCTACGTTCTATTTTGCTTTTAGCTGAATGCTTCAGAAGCTTCACTTATTAATACCACTTGTATCTTCTATCCGCTATTGACCTGGCATACATTTAAACACAAGAGAAAACCAAGACTTAAAGCCTTTCAGCCTTATTTCATATTATTCCTCTTTGTAAAACACAATGGACATGACAAAATGGAAAACTTGTTGAGTTTTCCCCAGAGTCTCCTGACTCTGTGCAAATGTTCCCACTTCTGGAAGCTGATCTCTTACCTTAGCCTGTTAGAATCCTTTTATTTCTTCAAAGTACAGTCCATCCACTACCTCTGCCATAAAGCCTTTACTTATTCTCCGAGTTAAAAATTATCTCCTTCCAGTGTTCTTAGAACACTAATCTAGATTTCAGCTTTGACTTTTTCACATTTTACCTTGTATTATATGACTTGTTGTCTGTTTTTTTCAAGGTATAATGTCCTTACTAATACTATGTTGGAAGTTTCTTGAGGTCAGTAACTGTACCACTTTCATCTTTGTATATTGCTTGAGCCACACAGCAGGTACATAATAAATGTTTGTTGAAACCCTTACAAAGCAGAGCCAAAACAATTTGGTCTCACCTCTGAAAAGCCTTTTTTTTTTCTCTCAGGTGAGGGCACACAGGGCTATAAGAGTAAGGCAGGTGGCATCCACCTGTAGCCCAATGTCTCTTCACACTTCCAGGATTATCCTGAATTTTCAAATGCTGTGCCCATGTCCTACTGAGCTGAAATGGCGTCCACTACAAGTCAGCCATGGCTTGTCATTTAAAGACTAGCTTGGGGAAGACTAGCTTGCATGAGGCTCATGACTAGGCTGGCCACAGGGCAATGCATTTTCTGATCCACGGCTACTATCAAACACTGCCTACTGAATTGTAGGAGGATTGCCTAAATGGAAGAAGCATCTACACTGATGAAAAATGGATCCGTGAAATCTAAATGTATTAAGGGTCTCTTCTATTAAAGGCCCTGTGTGCAGGCTGCTGGGCTAGGGTAAAGCGCAGGAGGGAGGGACAAAAGCAAATGATACCAGAGTACCGGGGCCTGAAGCCAAGATCAATGGATTGAAAGATGAACCCCGGAGGCCAAGGTTCCCAGGCCTGGGGATCCTGAAAAGGGAGGAAGCCCCAGGGCTCAAGATGCCACTGCTAGGGTAGGGGGAGGGGGGCGAGGGGTCCGCATCTCCCCAAGATGCTGAGAGGGAGGGGAAGGGCCTCGGCCTTCTTGGACTCCTCTCTGGCCCAGGCCTGGCTCTTTTCTGCTCTGGGCCAAAGCTCTTCCCAACGAGCCCCCACCCCCACCCCCATCCCCCTAAAAACAGCCCCCCACCCCCAACCCTGCTCCTCCTCCCACCCAAGGCCCTTTACCGGCCCTCACTAGGATGCAAAGAGCGGCCGGCTCGCTGGGCTGGGCCGGGCCGGACCTTGTGTGGAACCACCACTGCGCGGCACAGTCACAGGCCCCGGGGTCCAGTGGATTTCGGTGGCTCCAGACACCGGGCTACCCCCAGCCCCCAGTCTTTTAGGTGCAGAATTGCGCATGCGCTGGAAACCGCTCCCCTAGATACCCACGTGACTCAGGCGAGGCGGGAGCATGCAAATTAGCTAACGGTTTCCCCAACCCTTCCCGGACTCAAGCACCGCCTCGACTCGTCGCGCATGCGCCACGCCTCCCACGGCCGTTTGTCAGTGACTCCATTCTCTGGGAAAGCTCACCAAGACGAATCTTTCCTCTACTGCGCTGAAAATACGGGGTGAGAGGCCGTGCGCTGTAACAGCTATGTAGGTGAAGGCCCGTCCACTCCCTAGTCCTTTTTTTGCACCACTGCCTCTTTCCCCCACCCCCCAAAAGCTCCGCCTACTTGGGAAAAAGGAGAGGGCTAGTGCGTCTGCGCGGGCGAGCCCAGCTGCTACGGTGGCCACCAAGAGTCAGAAGCGCCCGCCGGGCTCCGCGCGTGGGTAGCCTTGTCCGTGGAAGCGAGCTGGTGAGGCGGGACCTGTCACCGCGGAGGTGAGGGGTGGGGTGGGGTAGGGAGAAGCTGGCTTGGGGCCCGGACCGCAACTGAGCCACGCACGAGCCGACCCCGGGAGGGAAACCCTGCTCAGCTCATCCTCTTTTCCCCCCCGCACTCAGTTTATCAGTGGAGGAAATGGGGACCGGTGGAGTAGTCCGAGTGCAAGAGACCGTTTTAGAGAAAGAGCGCCAGGCCTGAGAGATTACCGAGCCACACGTGGCATCACAGATTTTTAGAAATCTAGTACATTCCTCTCCCTTGATTCTTACACATGAGGAAATAGAGAGACTTAGTGAGTGACTTGTCCAAGGCCACGCTGCTAGCAAGTCAGGGCCAAGATTTGAACCCCTGCCTCCTCATTTTATAAATGGGGAAACTGAGGCCTAGAGAAGGGAGGTACTATTTGTAAAATGCTTAGCACAGTTCCTGGCACATAGTAGGCCCCTTAATAAATGCTTGTTTCCTCCATATCTATAGTTTATAGGCGCTTACTTATTCTTCATGTGGTCAGTAAAAGTGCAAGGAAGAGGAACCTCTCCATTCAATAGATTCACACGTTGTTTTAATAGAATTATTTGTTTATTTCTAAGAGGACTTAAGCCTCACAGTCAAGCATATTAGATCTAGAGACTGGAAGGAATCTCAGAGGGGAAATGGGTTGCAAAGGTACACAGGACACCTCCTCTGTGGAAGGAGGAAATTCAGAGGTAATTAAGACATATCCCCTAACTTCCAGAAGAGGCGTGTACAAAGACATAAAATACCAATTAGAATATGACAAGGTGATCTCCAGGGTCCTTACTAACTCTCAGTTCTGTGACTGTAAAACAGTCACACAGACTCTTCCTGCTCGGAGAATTTAGGGAAGTTGGCAGCATTTGAACTGTATAAACTTAAGCTCTTCTTATGACTGTATACCTAGGCCCCTGCTAGATACTGGGGGAAATGCAAAGATAACAATGCCTTACATTTGTATCATGGATAGAAATTACTTCATTTGATCCTTATAGCAACCGTATGAAAAAGGCAAGGCAACTATTGATAGCTCCATTTTATCAAGTGGGCTGAGGCTGAGGAAAAAGTGAGTGAGTTGTCCATAGTTATAGAACAGAATAGACAGTGTGTAGGCTTACAGTCAGAAGTCCTGGGTACAAATCAGATGTCTTACTAGCTGAGTGACCATGGGCAAGTCATTATCATTTCTCTATGCCTTAGTTTTCTCATCTGTCAAAGGGGTGGTATTCTCCCTCTGGCTCTCTGTGTCAGGTTAGGTTGTAGGGCAGGTGCAGGTCTGCATGGAAGAAGGGGTTTGTTTCTTCATTAGGAGCTCTCTCTATCAGTGAAAACAAAGTCTAGTTCAGGGGTGGGAGCTGTGGCCTTGAGGCCACATGTGATATCTAGGTCCTCAAGTGCGACCCTTTGACTGAATACAAATTTCACAGAACAGATCCCCTTAATAAAAGGACTTGTTCTGTAAATCTTGGATTCAGCCAAAGGCTACACCCAAGGACGTAGAAGGCCACATTTGGCCTCAGGCTCCACCCCTGGAGTTGCTTCTCTCCTTTCCCAGCAAAGTATAAAGAGCATATCCAGAAGACCTCCCTCCCTCATAGGGCTGCTGATCCTTAGATGAGAGAAGATAATGGATATAAAACTTGAAAATGTGTAAGGTTACAGGATCCTGTCTTTAAAACAGGAAGGGCCCTTACAGGTCATCTTGTCATATAAGTGATTTTTCTCTGGGTCACACAAGTCAAGTCCATAAGCACTTATGTGCCAGGGACACAGGCAGTAAGTGAGTTGTTTTTTGTTATGTACAGAATGGACCCAAGCATCAGAGGTAGATCCCAGCCTCACTGGGTATGCTGGATAATGTGTTGTGGGGTTCTAGCTATGAATAGTGGCAAGTGGATTATGTTCCAGGAGACTTTAATACATATTACTGAGACCTGGTAAGTCTCTGATGTAGTCCAAAGATGCCTACCTTTTCCATTCTTACATGTTGTTTTTTATCTTTGGCTTTAACCAGTCATCCAGTGGTTTATATTGAATTTTTAGCTTTGGAGACTGGAATCACAGGAGTCTTCCCAAAGTCAACATGGCCAAACGCATCAGCCAGGAGACCTTTGATGACGTGGTGCAAGAAAACATCATGGAGTTTGACATGGACCCTGAGGAGGCCGTGAAAGAAGCCGTCCAGCAGTTTGAATCTCAAGGTACTGTCCTGTTGTTCTTGTGGATGGCTCTGAGTCTAGACCAGCCTGCTGTGGATGCCCATGCCAGGTGTCAGCTGTCCTCCCTGATACAGTGAGTGCAGCTGGCATCGTGAGGAGCCACGCCCCTCGGGTGCTGAGAGACAGACCATCTTGTGTGCCTGGCTCAGGGGCTACCTCTCAGTATCAATTTATCTTCAAAGGCACAAAGAACCCAAGCCTCCGGAGGACTCATCCTTTGCTTAGGTTCAGATATAGGATCTAACCTGTCAGTCATCAGCAAACATCTGTTAAATACCTACTATGTGCTGGGCAGGCACTGGATACACAAAGACAAAAGGAAAGCAGTCTCTGCTTTCTCTAGAGAGATGACACATAAAGCTAAATGTTCACATAAAAGAAATATGAGGTTAATTTCAAAGCAAGGGCACTGCCAGCTGGCAGGGAGAGGAGGTTAGAAAAAGCCCCATGCTGATGGTGCTGGTTGAGCTTTGAAGGAAATGAGGGTCTCTACTTGGCAGGGGGAGGAAGGGGTACGTTCCGTGTAGGAGAACCAGTCTGTACCAAAGCCTGGAGACAGGAAATGGAAGATGGAATGTCTCGGGTGGGGAGGAGCAAGAAGATCAGCCTGGCTGGACTAGAGACTGCAGGAAGGAGAGTCATGTGATGACACGGGCTAGGTTGTGAAGCCTTTCAAACAAGCCCCACAGGGTGTTTCTAGGGGATCTTAGAGTCGATGTGGAGACAAGGGTGTTTATGGAATAGGGCAGTGACATGGTCAGGCCTGCACTTTAAGAAAGTTATTCTGACTACTGTCAGGAGGATGGATTAGAGGACAGAGGTGGGAAGAGCAATCAGGAGGTGAGTGTAGTTGTAGGGAAGATCACTGAAGGCTTCGTCTAGGGTGCTGGCTGTTGTCACAGAGAAGGGAAGAGATGTTGTGGAGGTCCCGTGCAGCAGCTGATCAGGTGTAAAAGGGGTGGGGAGCAGGGAGAAGAAGGTGATCTCAAAGCTACAAACCTGAGTGACCAGAAGGACTGTGGTCCTCTGACCAAAATAGGGAACCCATGGGGAAGAGGCGGCTTGGCTGCTAAGCTCTGTTTAGAAATGTCTAATGAGCAATTGTACGTGCATATCTGGGGCTCATGAGAGAGACTTGGGATGAATGTAGAGAACTGGAATGTCACTGCATAGAGATGATCATTTAAGTCTTTGGTTGTGAAGAAGTCACTAAATAAGACACGGGGAGGGAAAGAAGGCAACAAAAACTTGGGATGCCCCAGTAGACAGAGTGTACAATATGAGTGATGAACCAGCAAATAAGAGTGAGAAGTGGTCACACAGGTAGGAGAAAAACCGAGAAAGAAGTTGAGTATCATGAAAACTCCAAGAGTAAAGAGGATTCAGGATGCAATGTTTGTCAGCAGTCTTAGCTATTATAGAGGGACTGGGAAGGAGGAGAAAGGAAAAGAAGGCCTTGAAGAGATTACTGGCAGAGCAGTTCTGGTTGGGTGATGATGCGTTCAGAAACCAGATTCAAAGCGTTGAAGAGCGAGAAGAAAGGAAGTCGAGTCAGTGGGTCTGTGTAACTCTTTCTAGGGGGCTGGCAATAGCTGGAGGGGATGGTAGTGTCTAGTGAAGGTTTTTTCAGGATAGGAGATAGGTGGATGTATTTGTAAACAGTAAAGAACTGGAAGATGAAGAGATTAGAGAAGGAGGAGGGGGTGACTGTGGGTGCAATCTGCTAGAGGCAAGATACATGGAGAGGACCTGGCCTGGGTCAGGAAAAGGGTCACTTCCTCATCGGAGCCTGGGGTGAAGAATGGAAGTACGGAGAAATTGTTGAGCGGGGGAGGCCCTTAGTGAATCATTTCTCTTTTCTTAGGGAAGTGTGAAGCTAGGTCTTGTGAGTGATGGCAAGGATGGGAAGGACCCACTGCACAGAATCACAGACTGGGAGAACCGTAAGGGGCCTTGAAAGTCATATTGTTCTACCTTATTCTTTCACAGACAAGGCACTAGAAGGGAAAGTGAGTGACCCACAGAGCTGGCGTAGCTAGCATCCAGTCAAAAGTCAGGAATTAAGCTGGAAGAACAAGCCAATAAAAAAAGAATCTCCCCATAAAAAGCTATTATTATGACAGGGATGCTCAAGACACAAACCCAGAAGAGATTGACTACAAAAATCTACAGCCAAGGCCTCAAAATAAAAGATAGCTTGGGCACAGATTCAATTAGAATTCCTAGAAGAGATGAAGCAAGAATTTAGAAAACAAAAAAATTTAAATATTTTTATAAATAAGTATACTTGAGGAAAAAAGTTAGAAAAGAAATGAAAGCTATGGGAGAAACAATTAGAAAGGAAATTAACAGTTTATCTCAAGAAGTACAGAAGCTTACCCAAGCAACAAACTTTAAAAGTTAGAATGGACCAAATAAAAGCCAATGACTACATAAGACAACAAGAAATATTAAAGCAAACTGACCAAAAAAAAAAAAAAAAAAAAGAACCTGGGGTAGGCCCTCACCCTTGCCCAGTGCACCTCACTCTCCCAAGGCTTTAGTCACTCAGCCCAGGGCTGTACTTACGGATCATTATTGCATGACTGCACTTGGATTTCCCCTTCATTTCTGCAGACAGAACTTTCCTTGTCCTGGGGTACCTTCACTAGCCCAAGAGGGAGCCTTTGCTACAGAATCATAATCATAATAGGTCATATTCTTGAGATAATTCATATACATTATCTTATTTGATCCTCTGTGACCAAAGAGGACCACCTTAGAGGGGTGAGGAGAAGGAAAACTCTTCCTTTCTGCCCATGCTGAGTTTGAAAACGTGAATTAGGCAAACCAGTTACAGCAAGACACTCAGACACTGTCCCCTCCTGCCCCATTCCCATGGCCGGTCCTCTAGTATAAGCTCTTATTAACAGCTACCTAGAACAGAGATACTAAACTCACTCCCACTGAACCAGATTAAAATGTAATTGGGAGATGTTTAATAAAATAAATAAAAATACAGTACATCATAGGCAATGTTAATTTGTGATCTTCTAAGTCACTATGCTGAGATCCATATGTGTTTTAAGTTTGATACCATTGGCCTAGATTATTGCAGTAGTCTCTTAGTAAGATTTCCTACATCCACTTTCTCCCCTCTCCAATCCATCCTTTGTATCACTTGCTAAATTATTTTTCTTATGGATAAATCTGGTCATACCATTGCTTCGCTCAGACATCTTTTCTGGCTTAATGCCATAAGACATTGTGGGACAGTGGGAAGACTCTTTTGAGTCAGACCTGCCACTCCCTTGTTGACAAATTCTGGATTCTTTTATCTGATCATCATCTTTTATTCTATCTTTCCCTGTGTCTTATAGCCTCTAACCCTGTTGTTCTTTGTCCTAACGGTGTTCTACCATCCCTTGACCCCTCATTTCTTTCCTGTGCCGTCACTCCTCTTCTGGATACACTCTCCTCACTTCTCCATCTTGACCTGTTCATGAGTCAACTCATCTCTAACCTCAAAAAGTCCTTGTTCTGTTGCCAAGCTCCTTCTCTGGACAGCTCCCCTTTTCTCCTAGTCACATCTGCCATATGGGAACTGTAGGAAATTATGAAACTGTTGACTGAGCCCACTACAAGTGTATAATCTTAATCTCTAATCTCACCAGGGCTCTCACCGATGCACAGTAAATATCCTGTCCCTAACTGACTCCCAATCCCACCCTCTGGAACAGCCTTTCCTTTTCCCTCAAGCCTCCCACCGTTCCCCTTTGCCCCCATCTTGTCAGCCAAGGACCTTGCTTCATATATCAGTGAAAACATTGAGACTATTCACCAAGAGCTCCTATTTCTCCCCTCCTTGTCAGATATCATTGAGACAACTCACCTTACGCGGTGGCCCTTCTTACCAAGGCCAGCCCCTCTACATGTGCCCTTGATCCATTCTATCCTGTCTTCTAGCTTTCTCCTCCCCATCACTACTAAACTCTTTAAGAAAGTCCCCTACACTTGGTGTCTCTGCTTCTTCCTTTCACTCTCTTTTAAACCTCTGCAATCTGGCTTCTGACCTTGTCATTCAACTGAAACGGTTCTCTCCAACATTACCAATAATCTATTGGCCTGTTCTCAGTCCTGGTCCTCCTTGACCTCGCTGCAGCATCTGATGTTTTTGATTACCTCCTTCTGGATGCTCTCCTCTTTGGGATTTCATGATACTCCTCTTTCCTGGGTCTCCTCCTGTCTGACTACTACTTCTCAGGCTCTTTTACTGGTTCTTCATCCATGTCATGCCCCCTACCCTTGGGAGTCCCTCAAGGCTTTTTCCTGGGACCTCTTCTCTTTTCAATCTTTATTGTATCATTTGATTATCTCATCAACTCCCAAAAGTTCAATGATCATCTCTATGCAGATGATTCCCAGATCTATGTATCCAACTATCATCTCTCTCCTGAGCTATAGTCACAAATCTTTAGTTGCCTCTTGGACATCTCAAGGTGTTTGTACATGTCCTGTGTTTTACCAATATTCTATGGGCAGCTCAAGCTCAGACCTGTCCAAACTGTCCAAAACTGTCCAAAACAGAACTCATTATCTTTCTCCCAGAGCTCTCCTCTCTTCTGAACTTCCTTGTACTCTCAAGGGCATCACCATTCCCCCAAGTCACTCAGGCTCTCAAGCTAGGTGTCATCCTTGCCTCTTCTCTCTTACCCCACATACCAAATCCCTTGCTAAGTCTTGGTGTTTCTCCCTTCACATTTCTCACATACATTCCCTTCTCTCCACTCACCCTGCCCCCACCCAGGTACTATTGCTTTAGCCTACTTCAAGTCTCCCTGCGCGTCAGTCCATCTTCTACTTGGCTGGCAAGGTGATTTTTCTAAATGGTAAATCTGACTTATCCTGCTGCTCAGGGAACTCCAGTGGGTCCCTATTACCTTCAGAATCACATATCAAGTTCTCTGTTGCATATTTAAAACTCTGCATATCCTGGCCTCTCCCTACCATTCCAGGCATCTCACACTTCACTTTCCTCTGGACACCAGTAGTTCCTCGAACATGACCCTCCATCTCCAGTCTGAGGGCCTTTGGACTGGTTATCCCCATGCCTGGAATGCTCCATCCCATCTTAACTTACTTTGCTTCCTTCAAGACTAAACAGAAAGTCTGTCTGCTGCAAGGAACTTTTTCAGTCCCCCCAACTGCTAGTGCCTTCCCCTCCCTTCTTACCCTCTGTCTCCTTTGTATATCTCTTGTATGTATCTGATTATTTTCATGTTGTCTCCCCCATTGGATTGTGAGCTCCTTGGGGGTAGAGACTGTTTTTGCCTTTCTTTGTATCCCTAGAACGTGCCTGGCACATAGTAAGTGCTTAATAAATACTTGTCTGGCTCACCACTGACCTGTTCTGGAATGCCCTCACTCTTTCTTTTCCTGGTGAATTTCTACTCAGTTGGTGAAGTCCATTTCAAATGCCAGAAAGCCTTCCCTAATAATCCATACCTGCCTCAGTAAGTGATGACCTCCATTCCCTTGAAACTCTGCATCCTTCTTTTAAATTTATTTTTCTGCATTCTTTTGATAGGGTGTGTTGTGATTATCTTTGTTTGTGCTCTGTTTCTGTGACTAGACTGAGTCTTATGAGGACAGAGAGCTTATTTAAAGTATCTCTCCCCATGCCTGGATAAGGAGGCATTTAATGAATGTTGGAATTGAATTGGAAGCTCATTTCTCTCTCATATGTGTTTGTTTCTCCCTCTCTCTTCTGTAGGGGTTGATCTGACCAACATTGTAAAAACGAGACCCAAAACATCTGCTTGTGGTGACCAAGGGCCAAAACATGAAATTTTGCAGGTAGGAGCCAACTCATGGTTGCAGGAAATGATAATATCATTTCCAGCTTTGAGCAGCCCGTGACAGTATCAATAGAGTTCCCTTGGTGTCCAACCTAGGGTGATGCTGAATAGTTTCAGTAATAAATTCTTGCTTTCCCAGAAGACTGGAACTGAGAATTCACAGGAGCTGGCCTCGTCAGGACACAGCCAAACGACAAAGCTGGCCCCTTCTATGTTTTGTTTTATGAATGCCTTTTAGATTTGCATCATGTTAGTTTCTGAATATATCCCCATTCCTCTGTCCAGCAAACCTTCCCTTATAACAAAAATTGAAAAAGAAAAAAAAAATTCAGCAAAATCAACAGTATGACCATATGTGACAGTATATGCAATGTTCCATAGCCATAGTCCCCAACTCTGCAATGGAGGGAGGAAAGTACATTTTCTCAGCTCTCCTCTGGGAACAAGTTTGGTCATTTTCATTTCATGATACTTAGTTACATTTTATTTTTCCTTCCATTGACATTGTAGCCATTGTGCACTGTTGTTTTCCTGATTCTGCTTCCTTTACTCTGTCAGTTCATGTAAATCTTCTGTGTTTCTCTGAATTCTTCATATTTTGCATTTCTTAGTGTAGTAAATCTTCATTGCATTCATGTAGCACAGTCTACTCAGCTGTTCCCCTGATCCTGTACGTTTATTTTTTCAGGCTCAAACAATTAATTTCTTTTCATTTAATATTTTATTTTTCCCTAATCACATGTAAAAACAAATTTCAACATTCATTTAAAAAACTGAGTTCTAAATTCTCTCCCTCCTTTCCCCATCCCCTTCACTGCAGTTTGATATAGATTATACATGTGTAATTATGCAAAACATTTCCATGTTAGTCATGTTGTAAAAGAAAATATAGTCCAAAATAAAAACCCAAGAAAAATTTTAAAAAATCTTAAAAAGTATGCTTTGATGTATTCAAATTCCATCAGTTCTTTCTCTGGTGATGGATAGCATTTTTCCTGATAAGTCCTTCAGAGTTGTCTTGGATCATCATATTGCTTAGAATAGCTAAGTCATTCACAGTGTTTTTCTATTACTGTGTACACTGTTCTCCTGGTTCTACTCATTTCACTTGGCATCAGTTCATGTAAATTTCTCCAGGTTTTTCTGAGAGCATCTAGCTCATCATTTCTTCTATAACAATACTATTCCAGCACAATCATATACCACAAATTGTTCAGCCATTCCCCAATTGATGAGCATCCCCTCAATTTTCAATTCTCTGCCACCAGAAAAGAGCTGCTATAAATATTGGGGCAAAGTTCAAAATTGCTCTACATAATGGTTGAATAAATTCACAACTCCACCAATGGTGCATTAGTGTCTCAATTTGCCCACATCCCCTCCAACATTTATTATTCTCCTTTTCTGTCCCATTAGCCAATCTAATAGGTCTGAGGGAGTACCTGAGTATTGTTTTAATTTGCATTTCTCCAGTTAGTAGTGATTTAAAGCATTTTTTTCATATGGCTATAGATAGCTTTGATTACTTCATCTGAAAACTGACTTTGTATTTTTTGATCATTTGTCAGTTGGGGAATGGCTCTTATTTTTATAAATTTGACTCACTTCTCTATATAGTTTAAGAGATGAGACCTTTATCAGAGAAACTTGCTTCAAAAATTTTTTCAGCTATGATTGCTAACTGTATTTCCCTTTATCCTGTTTCCCCTGTTTATTCAATTCTCTCTCCTTTCACCTTGTCCCTCTTCAGAAGTATTTTACTTCTGACTATTACCTCCCCTAATCAACCCTACCTTCTATGAGTAACCCCCTTTTTCTTATCCCCTTCTCCTCCTGCTTTCCTGTAGGGTAAGATAGATTTCTATACCCAACTGAATGTTTATGTTATTCTCTCCTTGAGTCACTTCTGATGAGAGTAAGGATCAGGCATCCCCCACAACCTCCCCCATCTTCCCCTCCACTGTAAGAGTTCTTTCTTGCTTTTTTTATGAGGTAATATACCCCATTCTGCCTCTCTCTTTCCCTTTCTCCCAGACCATTCCTCTTTCTCCCCCTTTAATTTTATTTTTAAAGATATCATCCCATCATATTCAACTCATACCTGTGCCCCCTGCCTATATATACTCCTTCTAACTGCCCCAATAATGAGAAAGTTCATGTGAGTTACAAGTATCATCTTCCCGTGTAGGAATGTGAACAGTTTAACCTTATGGAATCCCTTATGATTTCCCTTTCCTGAGCTCTGGAAGCAGCTACTGTAGCTGCTGATTCATTCACTCCCAAGGCCTACTCCTGGTCTGTTCTGGTGTGGCCTGTACTGGACTGCACTCCACTTTCACCCTGGTGCGACAGACCTTTCCTTTCAAACTTTTAAGTTGTCTTGTGTTGGAAAATTGTTTCACCTATTCTTTTGTGGGTCCTGACATTCCAGGATTTGTTTTAGGGTATTATTTAAAGGTCTTTGGAGGGGTCTGGAGGAGAGCTCAAGTGAGTCCTTGCCTTCTGTCCACCATTTTGGCTCCACCCTGATCCTGTAGTTTTTAAAGGCATAAACATGACCTTGGGGGTACAGATCAAATCATAATTTTTTGCAAATACAGGAATTTGAAGGCTTGACTATGCATATTTGTTGGAAGGATTTTATTTTTCTTTCCTTAATGAGAGATGGAAGGGAGAGAAAATAAAAATTTTTATTAGCTGACACCCCCCCTTTTTTTTAAAGTTTAAAAAAAAAATGATCCTCGGGAGAAAGGTAGTTAATGTTGGTGACCTTGAAACTGAACATCTAAAGCCCATGGCCTGCCATTCAAGCACTTCCAGAGTCTGAAACCAACTTCTCTTCCCAGCCTTAGCTCACACATCTTCACACACTTTGTGCTCCAGCCAAACTGGGTTCCTTGCCATCCCTCAAACAGCTTTCTTTCCTCCAGTCCTTTGCTCACATAGGTCCCCATGCCCAGAATGCATTTCCTCCCATCTCTTCTAAACACAGTCTAAACACCACCTCCTCTGAAAGCCTTCCATGATATGCAATTGTAAGTGATTTGACAACTGAGCACATGTTTTTTAAGCACACACCACTGTTGGAGCACTGAGTCATGGCCATTATACAAAGTGAAGCTAAGACAGTTCCTCTTCTGGTCTACTAGAAGGATGAGAAGATGCCAACACAGATCACTCTGAGATTGTACAAGTGCATCAGAGAAGTTTCCTCCTTGCTCCTCCCACTCCTGAAAAAAAAAGGGTAAAGAGGCATTGGGTGGTCTTATTTCTTGGCTCTTCCATGGTATCTAAGGTAGGATTGGACACACCTAGTCCAGTAAAGCCTTGAACTGACTTGAATTTTCCATGGAAAAGGAAGAAGTCTGTGTACCTCTCTTGCTGGGTGCAGAGCTGCCCTGCCTGGCTGGGGTGGAGGGGCAGGCTAACCTGTCCCCTTGTTCTGCCACACCCTGAGGATGCTGAGTCCTTTCAGCAGGCAGTAGGAGATGGGGCTTGGCCAGTGCCTCCCTCCTCTGGCATTGTGGGATATAAATCCACTTTCTCTTTATTCATCTGTCTCTAGCATTCTTGAGTATGTTTTTAGCCAGAAGATTTGTAGATTTTAGTGAGTTCTTTATTTGTCCTTGAATCAGCAGCTGGAAGTAAACATTAATATCTGCTGGAATGTCTTTGGGGGGAAAAATTGGCAATAAACTCACATTTTCTAGGCATCAGAGTTGGGCACCTGCTGCTTCTCTGAGCTTGGGAAGTTCTCTTCATATTTCTGGCTTCAGGGACGACTAGAACGTGCCAAACCCATTTGAGTAGGGAGTCTCTTTGGGCCTCAGAGGCCTCAGTTCTCCATACAGTTACTGAGTGAGAGGCTAAGGTCCCTTCTGGTCTAATAGCACACGTACACCTCTCAGTGTACATTGGATTTATCAAGATAGGTGACTGACCCTAGGACATACCTGAAGGATATCTGTTTCTCAGCCCTGAGTGCCCTGCCTGTACAGGCTGTTGTTCTTAGATGGAGGAATTTGGGCAAAGTATCCTTTGCTTGTAAAGTAACAAATCAAATATGGAAGAATGAAAATTACACTAGGCCTCTCTAGTCTTTGGCTTAAGAAAACCTTTATTAAGTGCCTACAATTTGCCAGCGATTGGGGTAAGTGCTGGGGACACAAAGACAAAACAGTTCTTGCCCTTAGGGGGTTTATTTCTATGGGGGGTTGGGAAATGAATCTATGCAAGGAAGCAAACACAGTGTCTATAAAGAATAGTACAGTGTCATTCCAAGAGGGGATCTGGAGGCCCGAGTGCAGAAGGACAGTAACATCGTGTCCACTTGTCTCCCCTTGTGCTTCACAGACACTGGAGGCTCTCCAGAAGTCTGTCGACTCTGCAGCCCCCCAGGAGGTGGCGGAACACCTTGTGAGCTTCAGTGAGCAGTGTCGGGGGCAGGTCGCCAGCCGCTACCTGGCTGCCCAGAAGGGCGCATACCCTGTTGTGCTCTCGGCCTGCCAGCAAGCCGTGACAGAAGACCAGGGCTTCTTGATAAAGGCCCTGAATGCCTTGGCTGCCCTGACTGAGGGCCAGCCAGATCTGCTGGATCCCAGGGGCCTACAGCTGCTAGTGGCCACGCTGAAGGAGCGTTCAGGGATAGCTGAAGTGATGTGCTCTGGGCTCCGCTGTGTTCGACACGTCTGTCTCAAGCATGAGCAGAACCGGCAGAGCTTAGTGAGAGCGGGCATCCTGCCTCTGCTAACTGGGGCCATCGAGAGGCACAGCTGCAGAGCCAACGTGGTCAAGGAGGCCTGCTCCGCTCTGAGAATCATGACATTTGATGATGACGTCCGAGTGCCCTTCGGCCATGCACATGACCATGCCAAGATGATAGTTCAGGAGAATAAGGGCTTAAAGATTCTCATAGAAGCCGCCAAAGGTAGGAAAAGAGTTTGCTTCTTGGTATCAGTAAACAGAGCAGCTAGGTGGCACAGTGGATAGAGCACTGGGCCTAGAGTCAAGAAGACCTGAGTTCAAATCCGGCCTCAGACCCTTACTAGCTGTATGACCATGGGCAAGTCACTTTAATCCTATTTGCCTCAGTTTTCTCATCTGTAAAATGAGCTGGAGAAGGAAATGGCAAACACCTCCAGTATCTTTGGCAAGAAAACCTCAAATCGGGTCACAAAGAGTCAGACAAAACTGAACAACAACAACAAATCAGTGAACAGCAGGTTCCAGCCTCTACATGGTAGAAATCAACCATGGAAGCCCCTGGGTTTGGGGGAGTGTTGAAGCCCACAGGTAATGGTGCCCATCCTAACTGGCCCATTGCTTTTGGAGAGCATCCCATTGGAGTCCTCTCATAGCCAGCAGAGGGAGCTGAGGCCCGAGATTAAGGTTCCTGCCACACCTCTGTGGTAACAGGCCCATTCCTCCTTTCCCCTGCATGAGTTTTGTGACTCTTTATGGTTCCCTACAATGGGTGTCAAACAAAAGTGGCTCAGTTCCCTCCAAATGGGACTGTGGAATTATGAGAGGGAGCTGGAGGCTCATCCAGTGTCAGTTAGTTTGCTGGAGGAATTTGTTTGGGAATAATGGATTTCAGAGATTGCCCCATGGCAGGTATTTGCCAGAATAATGAAAAATGTGCCTAGGAGCTGACTCTTGGCTAGCCTGAGTGGGAGAATGAATCCTTTTTCACACTTGAATTAAAGGCACTGATTAGAAATCCATTTGTGAGACTGAGCAGGGGGTCAGTGGTAGTTCTGAGTGGATCCCACAGCCCCTGTGCTATTTTTCATTAGAAAGGACCCTGGGAAAGGGAAACTTTAGCTTTTCTTGAAGAGTACCTGCCCCTTGCAGTGCTAAGCCAAGGCCACATCCCCGCAGTCTGGGGAGTGACTGCTTTGAATGGTCTTCATTCTCTGAGCACAGAAGCATTCCTCCCTTGTTCCTCTGCCAGCATTCCCAGACAATCCAACTCTTCTCGGCGAGCTGTGTGGTACTCTAACCCGCCTGGCTGTTCGGAACGAATTCTGTCAGGAGATCGTCGATCTAGGGGGCCTCCACATCATGGTGACTCTTCTGGCTGACTGCATCAACCACCAGGTGAGTGGTCCCAGGGTGGTCTCTCGGGGACCTTGCAGATTCTGTCTGTCTGGCCTTGGAAGTTTCAACAAGGAGAGGTAGTGTCACATAGTTCAGGAGAGCTGGCTTCATAGTTTTAGAAAGAACTGGGTTCACAGCCTACCTCTGACACACATCTGGCTGAGTAACTCTGAGTAGGTAGGTCACTATTGACCCAAGTGACTCTAAGAATGTCCTTGCAGAGAAGGGTAAAACCAGCCTGGGCACCGGGAGTTTCCTCACTTTGGGTTGTAATGATGTCAAGGTTCAGCTTCTATCCCTTATTACAGGTGGGGTAATAGGCATGACCTCATCACAGCTTGGGGAATGATGGGAAAGGTGTGAAGTGAAATGAGAGCCATGCACATGTCCGGTTCAAATTCTGAGACATGTTAGGTAAAGCTAGGTTTGAGGAACTGAACTATCTGGACAACAATGTCTGTTCACTCCTTTTCCATGTTAATCATAATGACAAGATGGCCAAAACAAAAAATAAAAATAATAATTCGCCCAAGGACCACTTGCTGGTATCAAGACATTGGGCAGCAGCATCTGGGCATGGGGTGAAGCAGGCCTTCTTTACAGAGAGCCAGTTGTGCTGCTTAGACCTTTTCTGTCCTCTCTCACTGGCCCCTGAGGGAAGAGTGGGCCAGGGGCAGGAGTGAACTCCACCTCGAACCCCCTTCAGGTGACCCTCAGACTGGCCAACTCGCCAAACCATCCCTAGTTTAGAAGAGTTCCCTTCACATGCCCATTACTGTGGCCAGAGCCCTGAGATTCTGGTCGGCAGACCTCCACTCGAGCCGAGCTATGGGACCTCGGACAAGGCGTCTCACCTTCTGGGTACCTAAGTTCCTCTCTAAAAGAGAGACAATGCTAACTGCTCCAAGGCACTGCCAGCCGCACAAGGCTGTTGTGCTTTGTGAGCCCCAAGTCCAACGGGAGTCACCAAGTCCCTGTTTCCAGGGTTCGGTGTGGCACAGTCAGCAGGGAGGTAGTCTGGGGGTGAGGAAGACGGAGGTTCCACATCACCTCTGCCACATGCTGCCTTGTGGCCCTGGGCAGATTGCCCCAGGAAGGTCTCTTGTTACTGATATGCATGGGCGGAGGAAGTGCCCTCACCAGTTCATCTGCACTGATGAAATCACAGGTTCCCTCTTCCCTGAATTATCTATTTGCTAAAAGGCACTGGAAGGAACTGGGATCCTCTTGTGGTGTGACATGGCTTGTCTGCTAGGTATAGGAGGGAAGAGAAATTACCCAGAAATAAAGATGATACAAAAACAAAAGACAGAAACAAAAATCAGATTTTCTTGAAAGATGCTTCTGTCAGTTCTCAAAGGCCACGACAGCAGAAGCAACTCTGGGAAGTCCTAACAAGGAGGAAAGGCTCAGGTCTAGGCACGGGCCTAGCCAGCCACCAGAGGTGGTGGGAAGGCCCTGACCCTGGCGGGAGTCACAGGACCTGTCAGCTACCTCCTCTGTAAAATGAGATCATTCTGCATCAGCACAGAGACCCCGTCCACCTCTCGATCTGCACCTAGGGAGGGAGGGCTTCAGCAATTCTCGAAGAGGCAGTCTGCTCTGATGAAGGAAGGGCCTAAGCCGTGTGGTAATGAAATATTCGGAAAAGGCCCCGAGTTCTAGTCCCAACTCTGCTGTTTACTGACTACAGGTTCTCAAGCAAGTTAAGTTATTTTGCCATGCTGGGCCTCAGTTTCCTTATCTGTAAAATGGCCAGAGTAGGGGTAGCAGGGTGGGATTTGGTGATGGATTAAATATTTAGGATTCTGAGATCAAGAACATCAAAATAGTTTCTGGAACTGAATTTAACTCCTGTGCTTTGGCGGCCACCCTGAGCACAGGTCTCTCTTCCTCTGATGTGCTCATTTTGATGGCCACACACAGGAGCTGGTACGGCAGGTGCTGGGCGCCCTCCGAGCCATTGCTGGCAATGATGATGTAAAGGATGCCATCGTCAGTGCAGGTGGAACAGATTTCATCGTGATGGCGATGACCCGGCATCTCTCCAGTCCCCAGGTACCAACCATGACAGCTGAACTCTCTGTCTCATCTTCTTGGGGTTTCTTCAGTGCTTAGGCAGCCTAAATTTGCCCTGGATGGTCCCAAAGAAGGGACATTATGTGTAAATGGCCCGTAAAGGGCTTAATGAATGGTGAAATCTTGGGCTCTGGTCTGGGATAATCTTGTGTCCCTGGACCTCACCTACACCTTGTCTCCCAAGCTCAAGGTCTTGGTGAGGCATGAGGCTGAACCTCCTGGGGTGGGGATGCAAGACCCAGGAGTTAGAAAGGGAACATAAGAACAACAGGGGCCAGAAAAGGCCTGGTTGCCATTGTGGTGGGGTGGGGAGAATGCAGAGCTGGAAATCTGAAGACCTAGGTCAGAATCCCTCCCTCGTCTGTCAGAGGGAGAGGATCATCCTGGGACTCCCCTCCTCACTGTGATATCATGAGAGCTAGAAGCAAAAGTCTGCGTTTCCCAGGACGTGTGTTTGTGTGTGTGTCTTCATTGGCCTGGTTTGTGTGACTGGATGAAACACTGCCTCCTTTGTCCTGTGTCTGATCCCTGCAGATCTGTGAACAGAGCTGTGCTGCCCTGTGCATGCTGGCCCTGCGCAAGCCGGCCAATAGCCGGGCGATCGTTGAGGGTGGGGGTGCCTTGGCAGCCCTGCAGGCCATGAAAGCCCACCCGAAGGAAGTCAGCGTGCAGGTAGGCAGCCGGCTCCTGCTCCCACAGCCTCCAGCGGGTCACTCGTGTGGCTTTGCGGGAAGAGGGACAACGGTGCTGACCTCTGTCTCTTTCTTTCCCCATGGGATTGTAGTTGCAGGGGTGGCCCTTTTTGCCTAGGATAATGATATTCCTGATTTGAAAATCCCACCACCACATGTAGGGAAAGGAGTCTCCTTCCTCCAGGTCCACCTCTCCCACTTCTCCACCCATACCGCTGCCAACAGACAAGAGCCAAGACCTGGGGAATGTGGCAGCAAAAAGGCTGTGAGTCTAGTGCTCTCCGTTAGGGATTGAGTTTCTCAACCTGCTCAGAAATGGAGCTTTGCCCTGCCGGCCCCACCCTAGGCTCCACGGCATCCACACTGATAGTCCAAAGTCTCGTGTCTACTTCATTGTGGCCTAGCCCAGTGCTTCTTAAACTGTGGGATCGAAATCCACAGCTTAAGAAGTGCTGAAGGGCAGCTCGGTGGCGCAGTGGATGGAGCACTGGCCCTGGATTCAGAAGGACCTGAGTTCAAATCCAGCCTCAGACACGTAACACCTACTAGCTGTGTGACCCTGGGCAAGTCACTTAACCCCATTGCCTAACCCCCTCGAAAAAAAAAAGAAGTGCTGGAGGGGTTGTGAGTAGAAGAAGTTTAAGAAGCCCGGGCCTAAACTATCTCAATATTCACATCCCTCTGGATGCATTCAGCCTTAGGCTTGCTTGTTACTTCTACCTGATGGAGCTACATGGTCAGCTCTGGGTCAGCCTCTTGAGGCTCTTCTCCTTCACCCCTTCCTGCCACAGAGACAGCAGCCTGCTATCTCTTCAAGTGTACTAACATTTTGTTGGGGTCTAGAATTTCATTACTTGTTTGGACTTCTGGTATGAAAGTCACACAACCAATGCAGATCAGTAGCATGTCTACATGAGAGGTCCAGTAACCTGCCTGAGGTCACAGAACCAGGATGTACAAAGGCAGGATTTGAGCTCAGGTCTTTACAACTCTAGGCCAGCCAGCCCTCTGACCTCCTCACCACAGCTTCTCAGCAAACTCTAAGGGTTTCAGATGTCAGAAATCCTGTGTTTGGTACTGGCACTGCCAAGATGAAAGAAATCATAAGCTGTCCTGAAGGAGCTTGTGATCACAGAGGCACACGTGTCCACAGGGTATTTGTGTAAAGGAGGACCTAGGACAAACTGTTAGGTGAGATTAGAGGAGAGAGAGCCAGGGAGGAGGGAGGAGGCCCCTGAGCCAGGCCATGGTGAAAGGGCTCTGAGCTGGCAGAGATGGAGGGCAGGGATGGACATGAGCAAACGTGCACAGATGGGGAAGTGACAGAGGGAAACAGTGAGGCATACAGTTCGGCTGGAACTCAAGAGTATGTGAAAGGGAGGCAAGGCTGGAGGTGTAGATTCAAGCCAGATTCTGGAGGGCCTTGGATGCTAGGCCAGGAGTCCTTACTTTGTCCAGTAGCCACCAGTGAAGAGCTCCTGAGGTGGTTTTTTGTTTAGTTTAGTTTAGTTTTGTTTTGAAACTTAATATACTGCTCTAATCATATCACTCCGGAAGCAATATGAAGATGAACTGGAGAAGGGAGAGACTTGGAGAAAGGAAGCCCTCAGCATCGAAAAAGCTGCAGAACCTTAGCCAAGGGGCCAAGGATGGGCAGGCCCAGCTGTTTTCAGGGGTCACTGTTAGTACTTAGGACACCAGTCCTTTTGATCTTTCCAGGCCAGAATAATGAACCTGGGCTAATAAGAGGGAATGTAATTAGTTATAGAAGTCAACTCTTAGACTTCAATCAAAAAACCAAATGAACCAAGTGCAGGCTAGTGAAGGCATGACAAGGTGAGTGCCTATGAGAGCTGCCATGGTTTGAGGCTGCTTTCAGAGAGGCCTAGTGCCCAGAGGGAGAGAGGTGAAAGCTTGGCTGTCCCTACCCTGGCCAGACCCCTCTGGAGTCTTGGGAAGGCTGTTGACTGACTGGAGCTCAGCCAGAAGAGGGGACCCAGAATGGTGGGGGGCCAGAAAGCTGTGACAGGAGGGGATAATCGAAGGGACTGGGGAGGCTGCGCCTGGAGAAGAGGAAGCTTTCGAGGGGAAAAGGGCCATGATGGTTCTCTTCACATACCAAAGAGGCTCTTGTGGGAGGCTAGCCACAAAGAGCAGCCCTAGAAGTAACGCAAGGAAAGCTGAGTGGTAGACCACAGTGGATTTTTGGCTCAGTACTTAAGGACAAACTTCCCAATAATATTTTAGGATTGTCTAAAGGGTAGGGGGAAGGAGAGAATTTGGAACTGAAAAATAAATATACTTGTGCTCTTAAAAAATAAAGAATTTTAAAGATCAATGTGATTTAAAAAAATTGTCTAAAAATTGAATGGACTGCCTTATAAAGTATGAATGAATGAATTCAGTGTTTAATTTATGCCAAGCGCTGTACTAAGTACAAAGAGAAGAAGAGAGAAAGTCCTTGCTTTTGGTGAGCTCACACTCTAAAGAGGGGGACAGCATGTAAAAGAGAGGGCAACCACCACAGGGCAGATGGCAAGGCCCAGAGGTCCTGCGTCTGAGGACATAGAGACAGGGGAGCTGATAGGGCGTAGAAGACCTCAGGAGACAGTGGCAGAGCAGAGGCTGGATTACTGTTTGTTAGAGGTAGTGCAGGGTGCAAGAAGGGTTCATAGATGAGGGACAGAGAGTGCATTGGGAAATGAAAATTATAATAATAAACAGGCATCAGTAAAACTTTTTGGCAGTTAGGTGGTGCAGTGGATAGACCTCTGGCCTTACAGTCAGGAGGACCTGAGTTCAAATGTGACCTCAGTCACCCAGCACTTACTAGCTATGTGACCCTGGGCAAGTCATTTAACCCCAATTGCCTCACCAAAAAGTAAAAAACAAACAAAACAAACAAACAAACTATACAGTAATTGGACCAGAAGAGGCAACAGCATTGAAGTGAGAAGAAACAGGGAGAGAGCCCCCTGACTTTCCCAGTGGTGGCCTGACTCTCTTTGCTTATGTCATTCCTTCAACCTCAGAATACCCTCCATACCCCCTTCTCTACCTGTTGGAAATTCCACCCATCTTTCTAGATCTAGGTAGACCAAACCCACCTCTTCCATGAAACCTTTCGAGATCCCTCTCCCATCCCTATCCAGTAGTCACAGATCTTTACCTCTTCTGAACTCCCCTGATACCTTATAACTCATAGTGCTTACTATCTTTCCTGCCTTGGATAGCTGGGGCAATGAGTCTGATGCTTTGAGAAGCAGATGAGAACAAAAGGGCTAGGCTTTTCCTTCCCATCTTCCTCCTCCCCTTCTAGTTTCTGACATGTGTCTCTGTGCTCTCTGGTAATAACTTTTGTTCTTTCTCCAGAAACAGGCTTGCCTGCTGATTCGTAACCTTGTAGCCCGCACACAGGCCTTCTCCCAACCCATCTTGGACATGGGGGCCGAGAGGCTCATCATGGAAGCCCGGGCCACACATCGGGAATGTGATGATGTGGCCAAAGCTGCCCTTCGGGACCTGGGCTGCCAGGTGGAGCTTCGGGAGCTCTGGACAGGCGAAAAGGGATCCCTGGCTCTCTGAGGCCCCTCTTGCACCAGCAGGCTTCAGAATGTCCCACACCTCACCTGGGAGCACAGTGCTGCTCAGAGGCCCCATGGAGAGTCTGTTACCTTCCGCTGGCCCAGAAGTAAAGTCCTCTACCTTGGGCTCCAGAGGGAGCCCACTGGCCCCCTTGGTGTAGTTTTGGTACCACCTCTCTCCTGCTTACTTCTGAAGGCCATAGTTGAGAGCAGATTGGTTTGGATACAACAGGCCCCCTTCCTCTTGGAGTGATTTTGGCCATTCCATGTCTTGTTTGTTTTAATATGACAGTCTCCTGGTGGCCTTGTGTGTCTTCTGCTTTAGGCCAAGATGCACATTTCTGTGAAGGTGGGATAGCCTGGGACAGCCAGAGCCAGTCAGTAGACCACCTTATCACTTTGTTTAAAACAGGGTAAAGAATGATGTCTGAGAAATGCTTCTTAGATACTGAAGGCTAACCAGTAAAAACCTGCCTCCCCATTCATTCTCCTGATACTGCAGATCACCCCTTGGCTGGCCTCTTCTCCAGTTACTTGCCCCAGATCACATCCCCAATCTCGCATTGCCAGCCCTCAGTCTTGGATCCCTCCCTCCATCCTCTGCCTTGCTGGGGAATGAAGGTGGAGAAAATCATAAAACTGTGCTGACTGTACATTTATGTTACATAATCTTCCATAAGCCTGCCTTTGTGGCTCCTCAAACAAACACTCCAGGCATTTTCTCTGGCTGTCCCCTCATGCATGAAATGCACTCTCTCTCCTCATCTCCAGCTCCTTTAATTTCCAACTAAAAGTCCATCTTTCACTGGAAGTCTTCCCCAACCCTCGCTAATTCTGGTGCCTTCCCTCTGTACATTATTTCCTGTTTATCTGATATAGAGCTTGTTTGTAACTACCTGTTTGCTTGTCATCATCCATATTAACTTGTGAGCTCCTCGGGGGCAGGGGCTGTCTTTTGCCCTTCCTTGTATTCCCAGGACTTAGCACAGTGCCTGGGGCACATAGTAGGTGCTTAATAAATGTTAATTGACGGCCTGTCCAGGCTGGGTATTTGGTTATGTCCTACATCCCAAGCTTGGGGATGCCAGGTAGCTTGTGAGAGCAGCCCCCACACCAGGTGCTAGGCTTATTCTCTGATAGCACTGTCATGCGTTCTAGAGCTGGGCAAGTCTGCTTCTCTGGTCTTCCTCTTCCTTCCCCCTAAGTACCTCCACACTCCCAGCCTGGCCCTCCTACTGGTGACCTGGTCTCTCTAGCCTTCCCACCTACCACCTGTCCTTGTGCCCCACTCTCTCTGCCTGCTGGTTAATAATGGCATCAAAAGCAAATGCCAACTTGTTTGTGGCGGTTCTAAACCTCAGCACATTTGTTTAGCACTAAGGAATTATTCTTCAAATCCAGTTGTCAGACTGGTCTACTGGAGTTTGATTCACAGGACAAACAAAAGTACATAATAATAAGTTATGTAGAAAAGTGTCAAGGTGGCTAGGTGCCACTGAAGATAGAGTACTGGTCTGGAGTCAGAAGACCCAAGTTCAAATCTAGCCTCAAGACACTAGTTGGGTGACCTTGGGCAAGTCACTTAACCCCTCTCTGCCTCAGTTTTGTCAGCTGTAAAATGGGGATCATAATCACACCTATTTTCAGGGTTGGTATAAGAATCAAATGAGATGTTTATAAAGTGCTTAGTGCCTGGCACACAGTAGGCACTTAACAAATGCTTGGTTCCCCCCCTCCCAAAAAATTCTTTTAATCACCTCAACTAAAACAATACTTTCTGTTCATTTTATTTTTAATTTGTAGTAGTGGTCAGTAAGGTAAAGGGAGACTAGATAGTATCTGTCATGACAATCTCAGTTATGTAGCCTAACCTTTACCTGAAGCAGGAATCCTCTCTACAACATCCCTGACAGGTGGTCCTCCAGCATGAATACTTCTGGTGATGGAGAACTTGCTGCTGCCAGAGTCAGCTCCTTCTACCTTTGGACAGCTCTAAGCTGCCGAAAAGATCTGGAAACCCACAAGACCCAAAAGGAGTATTTTTTCCTCATTACTCTAGAAAAATATCTCCAAAGTAAGACACACAAGACATTTTTTTTATAAATTAATTTATTTTTAGTTTTCAACATTCACTTCCATAAGCTTTTGAGTTTTAAATTTTTCTCCCCCTCCCTCCCCAACATGGCATGCAATGCATTGGTTTTGTTGTAAGGAAGAAGTAGAACCAATAGGAGGAACCACAAGAAAGAGGAAACAAAACAAACAAACAAAAAAAGAGCAAATAATATGCTCTGATCTGCATTCAAACTCCATAGTTCTTTCTTTGGACGTGGATAGCATTTTCCATCATGAGACTTTTGGAGTTGTCTTAGATACTTGTATTGCTGAGAAGAGCTAAGTCTATCAAAGTCGGTCATCACACAATGTGGCTGTTACTGTGTACAATGTTCTGATTCTGCTCACTTCACTCAGCATCAATTAATACAGGTCTTTCCAGGTTTTTCTGAAGTCTGCCTGCTCTTCATTTCTTATAGCACAATAGTACTCCATCACATTCATATACCACAACTTGCTCAGCCATTCCCCAATTGATGGGCATCCCCTCAATGTCCAATTCTTTGCCACCACAAAAAGAGTTGCTATAAATATTTTTGTACATGTGGGTCTTTTTCACACAAGACATGTCATAGGGATGAAGGGTCAACCAATTAGAAAGCTTTAAGCTAGCCAAAGGCCACACACTCTCAAACACAAGCTTTATCACTCTTTTATCATCCAGCTCCCTTCAGGTTCTAGTTCCCAACCTCCCCTCTTTTTCATCAGGGGCTGGCTGCTCAGAGTGGTTACAACTTTGATCTGAACACCCAAAGACAATGTTGGGGAAAATTTCCCTTGTGCCCCCAGCATACATGTAAGCCACTGTTTTTAGTGCTTAAGGCCCTGCCTCAGCTGGCTGCACTCCTGCACTCTGGACCAGTATCTAGTACAAGTCTCCCCTGCCACACAATCACCCAATTCCCCTCTTCCTGGAAGGGAGCAGGAGCTCCTGCTGTATCCTGAAGGCCCCCATGTGAAACCAGAGGAAGACCTGTTCACCAACCGGCACCCCCCTTAGACCCTACCCTACTTTGCAATGCAGTGACCCGGGCCTCCTCGAATAAACCATTCCTGTCTCCCAACTCCAGGCATTTGCACTGGCCAGAAATCTCTCTCTCCTCAAAAGTACCCAAGTTTTAGTGTACCAAAGTCCAGGTCATTCTTCCTCTCTCTCAAAGAGTTAACATCCGATTCACTATTTTTTTCCTCCCTAACCCCTGTCCTGATGCCAGGTGATTGTCATCTCCATGGAGATGCTATCAAACTCCAACATTTCCTCAATCTCTTAGGTCACCCCCTGACCTACTCCCTCATTCCCTCTTAGCCATACATAGGGATGATCACATACTAGAGAGAAAGGATGGAAGGGGCTTTGATTAAGAGGACCACCTGTTTGTCAGAGACAGTTTTCTGAGATGAAAAGAATGAGAAAAGGAGTTCACATCAAACGCCCTCTTTTTTTTTTTTCTCAGTAAAAAGGCAAGGTCCTCAACTGAGGGGAAGGGGGAAAAGAAGATGTAGATAGCTTCCGAGGAGTGAGAGAGGGAACCAATTAAAACAAAAGTGACAGACCAGTTAAGGTTAGTGTTTCACCTGTGGCTGGACTGGGCTTGGCAGTGCCAGGATGGACAGAGTGTTACCATTCACTTTTCAGCTAGAGTGCTAAAGAGTTCTTTCAATGAAGGCAAGGACCCTCAGCCTAGGTTTAGAAGAAACTTCTAGTCTCACTGGGGCACTCCCTTTTTCACAAAAAACAGAAAGGGGGATCATATATGAAACCAAATTTCTGTTAATACAGATTTTTTTTAAGTCAATTGATCTTTTGAGGTTATACACTCAGTAGTGGTGTCAATAGCTGTTTCCCTTCTAATTTTAACTCTATTCATTTTGTGCAAAAACTTTTCAATTTTATGTACTCATAACTGGCCACTTTATCTTCTGTGATACTTTCTATCCTTTGGTCATGAACTCTTCCCTACCCATAAAAGTGAAAGATATTTTCTTCCTTGTTCTACTTTGTTTCCAATGTGACCTTTTATATGTAGGTCACATATCCATGTGAAGCTTATTGTGGCAAATGATGTGAGACCCTGGTCTAACTCTAATTTCTGCCAGAATGCTTTCTAGTTTTCCCAACAGTTTTTGTCAAGAAAGGGAGTCCTCAGGATGTCCATTATCACCATTATTATTCAACAGTATGCTGGAAATGCTAGCTTTAGCAATAAGTCAAGAAAAATAATTCAAGGGATAAGCATAGGCAACAAGGAAACAAAACTATCACTTGTTGCAGATGACATAATATTTTTACTTTTTTGTTTGTTTTGGGGGTTTTTTTTGGCTAGGCAATGGGGTTAAGTGACTTGCCCAGGGTCACACAGCTAGTAAATGTCAAGCATCTGAGGCTAGATTTGAACTGAGGTCCTCCTGACTCCAGGGTTGGTGCTCTATCCACTGCACCACCTAGCTGCCCCGATATAATATTCTTAGACAATCTTAGAGAATAAACTAAAAAACTAGTTAATTACTTTAGCAAAGTTACAGTATAGAAAATAAATGCACACACATTACCAGCATTTCTATATATTACCAACAGAGCAGGAAGACAGAAATTCCACTTAAAATAATTGCAGACTATTAGTATAAAGTTGTTAGAAAGTCTACCTTCCAAGACACACACACAGGAACTATATGAACACAATTAAAAAACACTCATCACAGAAGTAAAGACAGATCTAAATAACTGGAGAAACTTAAATTGCTCTTACGTAAGCCAATTGAATAAAAATGACAACACTACTTAAATGAATTTACTTATTCAGTGCCATACCAATCAAACTATCAAAGAATTAATTTATAGAGCTAGAAAAAAATAAAATTCATCTGGAGGAACAAAAGGTCAAGAATATCAAAGGAATTAATGAAAAAAAAGTGAAGCAAGGGGGCCTGGCCATGCCGTATCACAAAGTATATTACAAAGCAATTTCATTAAAACAGTTTCATACTAGATAAGAAATGGAGTGGTTGATCAATGGAATATATTAGGTACACAACATATAAAAGCAAATGAGTACAGCTAATATTTGATAAACCCAAAGATCTCAGCTACTGGGGCAAGACTGCACTAATGGACAACAACTGCTGGGAGAACTGTAGTCTGGTAGAAATTAGGTGTATTCCAACAGCTCACACTGCATATCAAGACAAGCTCAAAATGGGTCCATGATTTAGGCATAAAGGATAATATAATAAATTAGTGACACATGGCAGAAATTACCTTACCTCTATGGATAGGGAAAGAGTTAATGACCAAGCAAGACCAGGGAAGGTAAAAGGGATAATTTTTTAAATAGTATTTTTCCCCAATTACATGTAAAGACAATTTTTAGCATTCAGTTTTACAAGGTTTTGAGGTCAAAATTTTTCCAGTGCAGTCAAAATTAGAAGAAAAACAGGAAACTGGGAAGAAAATTTTTCTGATAAAGGTCTCATTTCTCAAACATATAAAGAACTAGCCAAATTTATAAAAATAGAAGCCCTTCCACAATTGATAAATGGTCAAAGGATATGAATAGGCAGTTTTCAGAGGAAAAAAATCAAAAATCAATATCAATCAAAATCAATAATCATATGAAAAAATCTAAATCATGAATAATTAACGAATGCAAATTAAAACAACTCAGAGGTACCACCTCATACTCATCAGATTGGTAAAGATGACAGAAAAGGAAAATGACAAATGTCAGGGGAGTTATGAGAAAACAGGTACACTAATGCACTGTTGGTGGAGCTGTTAACTAGTCCAATCTAATTATGCCCAAAGAGCTATAAAACTGAGCACCTACTTTGACCCAGCAAAATCGCTTCTAGGTCTATGTCTCCAGCTGAGCAAAGAAAAAGGAAAAGGATCCATACATACACAAATATTTATAGCATATCTTTTTGTGGTGGCAAAGAATTAAAAATTGAAAGGATGCTTATAAACTAGGAATCTACTGAACAATTTATGAATTATGAATGTGACAAAATACACTGGAAGAAATGATGAAGGGGATGATTTCAGAAAAACCTGGGAAGAATTATATGAACTGATGCAAAGTAAAGTGAGCAAAACCAGGAAGACCTTCTACACAGTGACAGTAATATTGTAACAATAATCAGCTGTAAAAGACTTAGTAACTCTGATCAATACAATGATCCACCACAACTCCAAAGGACTCATGATATAAAATGCAATCTACCTCCAGACAGAGAACTGACAGACTCAGCATAGACTGGATCAGATTTCTCTCTCTCTTTCTCTGGGGAACACAGCTAATACAGAAATATGTTTTACATAATTTCACATGTACAATGGGTATATTATTTCTTGCCTTCTCAATAGATGGGGAAGGGGCTGGAGGGAGAGAGAATTTGGTACTGGAAATAAAAATAATTTTTTTTTAGGCAATTGAGGTTAAGTAAAAAAATAATTTTTTAAAGTGGGGAAGTCATCACTATTTCACAAAAACTGCTAGGAAAATTGGGCAGCAGTCTGGCAGATATTAACTTTTTTTTAACGTTTTTTGTAAATTTTAAAATTTATTTTAAACAAGTACAAAATTGGAAAAGACAAAAAACGTTGCCATGTACACAGCAGACCATAAGATTCAATATAAAAACAAATTTCCATTTCAAGAAAGTCTATATAATAAATACTACACATGGTTTTAAAAGCAGCCTAGCTTTGCTTGCTTGTAGCTTTTCTTTTGTTCTCTGCTGTATACTTTTTACTTTATTTTTTCCCCTCCTTTCCTCCACCCCTCCCTAAGGAAGGCTATAATTAAGCATGTATACACACATACACACACACACACACACAGATATCTGTAAATGTACACATATATACACTCATACACTTACATGTAAGATTGTACTATTTCCACTTGTCATCCATTTCTCTGAAGGTGGATAGCATCTTCCTTCATATGTCCAAGTCTTTCCTTGTTTTTCTAAGTCAACCAGCTCATCTTTTCCTACACCACGGCAGTATTCCAACCCAACCACATCTATCTGAGGGACTGTCTAT